GCATATGTACTTTGACCGAAACATGATGGCCAGATCAAAATGGAATTGATAGAATCTGTAAATAGGAGCTTCTACAGCATACCTCTAACAAAGCGCAGCCATATATATTGGATTATTTGCATAACTTGGTTTTGCAGGAAGTAGTTAATCCACTATTATGGCCACCTCTTTTATGTGCTTGTGTTTAATTGATGGTTGGTTGTATGGTTTTAAATTTGTTTTTAAAGCCTCGGGATTGTCGAGGAATTATGGATGAATGCTTGTATTAGTTGCCCGGGGGTTGACCGGATAGTTTTATTTATTAGTAGAAGGCATGTACATCCACTCGCTGGATCTAGGAATCGATTTATGTAATTTTGTAAATTATATTTTTTGAATTTTGACCGACCGTTGGAGACCGGGCCCTTCACAAAGATCCAAAGAGCCTCGACGGACAAAGCAAGGAAGAAACTGGAGCCGGGAGCTAAGGCTGGCCGGCGTGACCGCGGCTGGCAGCTTGGGCTATCGGGGCCGCAGCGGGCGCGCGCGACATGAGCCGGGTGGCTCTGCCCGGCTCGCGGTTTAATTAAATATATATATATATATCGACCACCGGGGTGGTGGCCGGCGGCCGGCGGGCGTCCGAAGGACCTCTGCAACATTCATGGTGGAGGTTTTGTGGAACTTGCAGTACAGGTCAACCGGATTCTACTGTAGTGGGAGTTCCAGTTGGTTTAGGAAAGAAATCATAATCCAAGGAGAATAAATATTTAATTGGCCATAATAGTGGATATTTATTTATGGCATTAATTATTTATTTGTTTATTCATGCATGGAATTAATTGTTGCCTTGTGTGCATAGGGTTATTAAGAATTGCATGAATATATTAAAAATCTTCATTTAAATACTATGTTGAGAAGGATATTTAAAGTTAAGATAATTTTAAATTCCTAAGGCCTCCATTTCTAATTCGTTGGTAAATCAGTTAATTGATAGTGTGGGCTTCCCGGAGGATGACATTACTTGAAATTAATTGAAGGATAATTATCATAACGAATTTCTAAATTTAGACGGTTAGAGGAAATCGAATGAGAGCGTACGGGTCACCCCGAGGTGAACGTATAATCAATTTTGATGACCTTCGGACCGAGAAATGGGATTCACTTAGAATGCGATTCATTTCATAAACCCCCCGAGGGGTCCCTGATTTTTATTGCATGGTCAAACAGTGACCGATTATTAATATCGTCCGTCATGAAATTGGTTTTGACTAATGGAAATTAATGGGTTCTGGAAAAACCTTTCTTTAAAGAAACGAAGAATTAGTAAAGTTGCCCGAGAATCATACTAAATTCTCAAGGTTTAAGGATATCGGTGAATTTAAGTTAGTATTGTTTTGAGGATGTCAATATTAACAGTTAAATTCAAAATGTTTAATCAGTAAAATATTTTCGTAATTCTCAGGTTTATTTGTCATGTCGTTCAATCCGTTGTCTGTTATCCTAAAAGAAAATCAACTCACCGGTCCTAATTACATTGATTGGAAAAGGAACTTAGACATAGTGCTGACTGCTGAAAGCTATAAGTATGTGCTAACTGAGGCTTGTCCTGATGTGCCGGCTGATAATGCCCCAGATGAGGAGAAACAGGAGTATGCTCGGTGGAAGAAGACTGATGAGATGGCGAAGTGTTACATTCTGGCTTCTATGTCAAATGTCCTTCAACATCAGCATCAGTCAATGGCCACTGCTGCAGATATGCTTCTGAACCTCAAGGAACTGTTTGGGCATTAGTCGAGGGCTGCAAGACAAGAGGCTTTAAGTGCTCTGATGAACACGCGGATGGCAGAAGGTACACCCGTAAGGGAGCATGCTCTCAAGGTCATGGCGCAGCTGAATGAGCTAGAGGTTCTTGGAGGTTTTATTGACGGGGAAAACCAGGTCGATATCATGCTCCAATCTCTGTCGAAGAGTTTTGATCAGTTCCGATTGAACTATAACATGCACAAGATGCATATGGCTCTTCCAGAACTGTTGTCAGAACTCCAGTCGGCTGAGGCCTTGTTCACTCAAAAATCAGTTGTGATGGTTGCCGAGCAAGCCGGACCTTCCAGGCCTCACAAGGGCAGGAAGAGGAAGAAGGCTGTAGGAAAGGCAAAGGCACAGAGCACCCAGTTAGTGCCTCAACAGGCTGTGGCAAAGAAGCAGTAGCAGCAGTTGCAGTGGGAGTAGTTACTTTAGTATTTGATGCTAGTATTTTG